AAGTTATCCTTCAATTATTTTTTTTAACAAGAAACGAACTTTTCATTGATAAATGAATTTGAACATTCAATGAATATGAACATAAAATGTTCAAAGATACAAACTCCAAAGGAGTGAATGATTCTGAGACACTATATTGCTAAACATGTATAATCCTACATTAGGGGTTTCCTCTTCCTCCGATTGTGAATGCCAAATAGCAGACCTTGAAAGTATCATGGATTCCCAGGTACTTCAAAAGAGATTCAATCAATAACCTCAGTATGGTAAACAGGATTTTATACTCAAGTAACTCTGGTTTTCTGATGCAGATTTATGCTATTGAGGACAAGAAAGAAGTTGAAATATATGTTCCCTCTGCAAAAGAAATATGTATATTTTACGAACCAGCAAAGTCTCCAAGTATGGAGTTGAAGTCAAAGATAGAAGCCCTGTGGTTCAAGGTGTTCCTATGTGATGCAATTATCTAAATTTAACTTATATTTTTCTATGTTTATAGTAATATTATGGTGATTTTTTTTCTTCAAAATTATGTGAACAGTTCGATGCTTTGTTGTCAAACTCACAAGGGGCAGTGCAAGTTCATTATAAAGACGTGGACAGCAAGCTTAAGCCACTGAAAAAACGACTGTCCAGTGATCATTTAAAGATCTCTTATTGCCTCGACGAACTTGGCCTTATATGTGCTTATGAGGTACGATGTGCTCTAATGCGATTTATTTTGTTTTCATTAGATTGTAGTTTCAGAAAAACTAGCGAATGGAGTTGTAAATGGGAGAGGTAGCCTGTCAAACAGTAAGTAATTAAGCCATTTCATTATGAAGCATTGAAAATCAATGAATCTATATAATCTTTAAGATGATTTTGAGGGTACTAAAAAAAAAAAGGTGATTTTGCGTAAAGTGGATTGAGAATCCTATTGTGGTAGACTACTCCCTTGTAAATTTCATACATCAATGAGGGATTATTTCTTATGAAAAGATTTAGTAAATGATAGAAGATGGATCTTATATTAGTGTTACCCGTTGATAAGACCAAGATCAACAAATCAATAGAAATCTATCAAATCAAATCCTTAACTATGAGGAACTCATGTGAGTGAACATCATTGCATAGGCTGATATGTATTTCAAAGAATGAATATTCCTTCTTATCACAAAAAAGAAAAAAAGAAAAGAAAAGAATGAACGAATATCCGTTAAGCGTGCCCCCAAGAAGGCATACATATCTGACAATTTGAACTAAGTTACTGCAAACATCATAAATTAAAAAGTAAAAACTAACATGGATAGCCTTACTGCATCAATTATAATTAAATTAGAGCCGTCAGAATATTCAGATGATATTTTTTTTGGATAGGAAACAAATTTCATTGATAGCATAAAATTTACAAAAGAACAAGATCTATCCAATGATACAAAAAACTTCTCCCATTGGATATGAGAGAATTCAAACTGTAACTATTTAAATTAGAGCCATTAGAGTACTCAGATTATGTCAAAGCCAATGATGCATATAATATTTAATTTTCTTGAATGACACACACCAATGAAGGAAATTCTTACCTTGATTGAAGCCTAAAAATTCCCCAATAAACACCGGGTTTAAACATATCAAGCGTACTAATCGATTCTAAATTCCATTTTCCGACAATAAGGTGTAATGATTAGTATAAAGGCCATACAACTAAATCCATCAATTTTCCCCATTTAATCTTTCTTTTCTTCTTGGGAGTTTGTGTGAGTATGCCACATAACAGAACTCAGATTAAGAGTCCTGGATTTATCTGGTAGGATATTTACTGTTAATAAGTTGAGACTTGAATGCCCTTCGATTATTATCTTTATATGTTGCATTCTCTTAGTCTGATTTTGTTTTTGCAAGATTTTTTTTGTCTGATTTGTGTATTCTCTCTATAATTTTTGTAGGCCATTAAAGTTTTATTAGAGAACGTCAATATTACAAACGAGGAATATGAGGTTTTTAGAGAAAGTTCTTTGCAGTATAAATGTTTCCTTGAGGAAGCATTACTAGTAATTGGGGAATCATTCCCACTTGGTATGTGACTAGTTGCTTCATTCAACGTCACTGCATTATCAAACTATTTTCTTGTTTTATACCTCCATTGGAAGTCAATTTCATGCCGTTACAATTAACTTCATATGACGTTGCCTAATAAGAAACAAAATTTTTATTGATGAATGAAAGAACTTATCCCTTTTCATTAGAGTTTTTGTAATTAATTTATTTTATTAGAACCGAACTTTCATTAAGATAAAGGAAAGAATGTATAAAGGCATATAAAAAAAACCAGCCTAACAAAAGGAAGCCCAACCTACAAGAAGGGGCTCAATCCACAAGAAGAACACCTAATTGATAATCGGAGAACTCCTAAAAAACCAAGGCCTACAAAGAAGTATTAAATCTTATAAGCTCCCAGATAGCCTCCCAAGACTTCTCCAACCCTCTAAAACAAGAAATGAGATAAATTGGGTACAATTATCAATTGATTTATTGAATCTGAAAATAAGAAACAGAATTCAGATTGCTAACCAGCTAACCAAAGTACCAAACGTGCCCTAACTTTCCCATGTAAAACCTGCCAGATAAAGAGCTTAATCTTCTTCGGGACTTTAACCTTCCAAAAAAGATTTTCTATTGCTATCAATGTCAATCCACTGTCTCCCTATGTACGAGCTTTTGGTACTTTTGGTCAACCACCCGTTTGAATCCACCCCATAAATGGCAGCAATTACCCTGCGCCAAAGACTCTGAGTCTTCAGTGGCAAATCTCCAAAGCCATTTAAAAAGGAGGGCCCTGTTCCTCTAATGGAGGGAACCCACACCTATACCTCCCTGCTGTTGAGGCAACGAAGCCCAAGACCACTTCACCAGATTTCTACACGGTCTTTATCAATTGTAATCCACTACCAAAAGTTGCATCTCTTTTTTGCTGCTCACTGCTTACTGCTTTTGCTTCCTGTTTCAGGAAATGAAAATGTTCTGAATTTTGGTCTTGACATTTGGAAAGCGGTAGATTTGGGCTACATTTCTTCTAAGTTATTTGAACTTCTCCAACTTTTTGAATCATTTGGGTAAATACCAAGATATTTATGAACCATCAATTTTGCTTCTAATTTTCATTGCTTAATTGCCTCATGTTTTTGTATCAGAGTATCTAGGCAGGTGTTGTGTCTCATATTTGTTGAAAGAATAATTGTAGCAAAAGTTATTGAAAGATTTGTGAAAAAAGTACCCAAATTATCTCATTTTACGGTTTCATATGTGACTGGATGTAATTCATCAGTTGGTGCACTGGCACCAAAAGTTCAGAAGGAGACATTGGAGTCATTTTGCCATGGCAAGGTGTTCATTTACATCATTCAGATTTCATTCGGTTATGGAACTCTAATTATTTTGTAACTAAATCCTTCCATTGTTTGCAGCTCAATCTTTTATTTTCCACTGATGTAGTTGAGGAGGGACTTCATGTACCAAATTGCTCATCTGTGGTACGGTTTGACCTACCTAAGACCATTCGTAGTTATGTACAGTCTCGAGGACGTGCTCGACAGAACAACTCCCAATATATTTTGTTGCTGGAGAGGTAAGACCTTCCTTGTTAAACTGTTTTTCTCGTGTGTTGTTGATATTCAAACCATTATAATGCTTACAGAGGAAATCTGAAACAAAGAGATCAGCTATTTGATGTCATGAGAAGTGAGCGATCAATGACAGATGCAGCTATGAGTAGAGACCCTGATGCATGCATTTTGAAACCTTTTTCAATTGTGGAGACAGATTGTTACATTGTGGAGACAACTGGGGCATCGGTTACTGCAGATTCTAGTGTTGGTCTCATATATCAATACTGCAAAAAGCTCCCTGGTGATAAGTACGGATCATCATACCTTTTTAATTGTCTTAACACTGGTTTTCTCACAACTTAAGCCATTTCTATGCTTCCATACCATGATGATTTTGGTCTATCAATCACCACTATATTCCCTTGTTCTCTCTTTTTTTATTTTTGTCAACTGAATTGAGTCTATTTAACTTGTGTTCACATGGAAACAAATCGGAATTTATAAGGAGTTGGTTAATCATGCTTGACAACATGCAATTATTGTGAGTGCCTATTTGTTTTCTGTCGGATAGATCACAGGCCAAAATATAGTTAGAGCCCTTATGTGTTTAGAGCTTATATATATATTTGTGATATTCGTGTGTCCATACCAGCTTGCACGCACTTTGACTAATTACGGGCCAATCGCCTGACCCTACTAAATTTGGTTGACAAAGAAACTCATAGGATATCAAATCCTAGATAGGTGGCCACCATGGTTCTAAATTCTTTGCTATTTAGATTGACTCTTATCGACCACTAGGTCATCCCATGATGGTTGTGTCTAGAGCTATATTGAATGTAGTTAATATGAAGTTAGTATTTTATAATGTTTTTGATAGTTGCCAATTAAAAGGAATCACATTTTGATTTCTTGCTTTAAATTATAGATATTTCAGTCCCAAACCAATCTTTCAACTCTCATATGGTGAAGGATCATACGAGTGTCGGCTAACTTTACCTCCTACAGCAGCTTTTCAAAGTATAGTTGGTCCTTCAAGTAGGAATTCTAATTTGTCTAAGCAGCTTGTATGCTTGGAGGCATGTAAGAAGCTGCATCAATTAGGTGCACTTAATGACCATCTTCTTCCCTTGATTGAAGAGATATCAGAATTTGACACAGCTCTGAAAAGCAACGTATCCACTTCTAGAGCAGGTACATATCCATGAAGCCATATACCGAGTTTATTAATGACTGTTTGTATGGCACACCCATAAAATTGTCATACGAAGAATGGTCAAAGAAGTTTTTCCAAGCAAAAAAAGCATACCTTATAGAGTTTCTGCAAGTGAAAATGTGTCGATGGTACTGCATGGACATTACTTGTTTATATATTTGTGGGCATCAATGGCCTAGGAGTTAGCTTATTAATTAAATTATTCAAATTGTATATAAATAAGATTTGTATGATATTTTCTACTCTAGATAAAATTCTTTTCTTGTTAGAAAAGAAAAACTTATTTGAAACCTTATTATACTAAATTAAAATTTGACATTACTTGTTAATATATTTGTGGCCATCGATGGCCTAGGAGTTAGCATATCAATTAAAATTTTCAATTTGTACATAAATATGATTTGTACAATATCTTCTACTATTGTCCTATTTTTCTATTTTTTCTTTGATTTGTGTGATTCAATTTTACTCAACCTATATGTATCTCTCTTTTCATCAATCAAATTTCTAATTTTTTCACAAAAAGAGAAAAAGAATAAGACTTGAAATTGTATACGTCGCTGGTATTTACTGTGAATTTAACTGCCAAGTATTGTTAGCACTGTTGGGATATTTCTGTACGTGTTTCTACTACTTGATTATTGGCCCTAGCTAGGCGTCCTTGGCTAATCTCCTTTTTATGTTCTTAATTTACAATTTGATGGCACTATTTTTGGTTCTTAAAGGAACAACGAAAAGAAAGGAACTGCATGGCAGAACGGCCATTGGAGCTTTATCTGGAACATGGGGAGAACTAGTTGAAGGGGCCTCTTTTCAGGCTTATAAATTTGACTTCTCCTGTAGTGTTGTGTATGAGATTTATTCTGGATTTGTTCTTCTGATAGAATCAAAACTAGATGATGATGTGGGAAATATTGAACTTGAACTTTATTTACGATCAAAGACAGTTAAGGCTTCTGTGTCTTTTGGTGGGCAAGTTCATTTGGATGCCGAGCAGGTAAAACATATATCAACTTCCATCATCTTCTCCATTCTCCACCATCAGAGAATTGCTTTTAATATGATATCATTGATACAGATAAGGAAAGCAAAGTGCTTTCAGGAGCTTTTTTTCAATGGAATGTTTGGGAGATTGTTTATTGGGTCAAAATTAACCGGAGGCAAGAGGGAATTTTTACTTCAGAAAGACACGAAGCCTCTTTGGGTTACATCAAACATGTATTTGCTTCTACCAGTGGATTTGACGGATGCTTCAAGTCATGATTTATGGAAAATTCATTGGAGAGCAGTTGATTCTTGTGTCTCTGTGGTTGAGTTTTTGAAGAAAAACTCATCTTTGGATACTGAAAGTAATTGTGGTGCCTTACCTTCTAGGAACAACTCTGCTGAGACAGGGAGCAAAGCTGCAAGTTTAATTCACTTCGCAAATTGTGTGCTAGATGTTCATTCCTTAAAGGACTTGGTGGTATTGGCTATTCATACTGGAAAGATGTACTCAATCGTTGAAGTTGTGAGTAACACATCTGCTGAGAGCACTTTTGATGGGAACAGTGACAGAGCCCAATCTGATTACATTAACTTTGCTGACTACTTCAAAAAAAAGTGTGCAACTTCCTGTTCTATTTTCTTATGTGTTGCTTGCATTCCCTTGGTTTTCATTACTCTTCTTTTGAGCTGTTAATGACTGCACTAGGTGTCCAGGTACGGGATTACACTAAGATATCCACAACAGCCTATGTTGCGTTTAAAGCAAAGTCATAATCCTCACAATCTACTTGTCAACTTTAACGATGAAGGTTCGTCAACTTGAGTTGTAACGATCTATTGTTATCAGATTATTTATTTAATTTTTTTGGTAAGAGACAATTTCATTGATGAGTGAAATTACAAAAGGGAGGGATGATAAGGCATCCCTTGTTACAGATCTATTTTTACAGATTATATTTTAGTTTTGTACTCAAGCTCAAGTTCTAGAGTGCTACTTTGTAAGTTCACACAATAGTTCTTTAGTTTAAAATTATGTTTCCTATATTATAATTTTGAGAAGGGCTCGAGAAAGAACACTCAAATATCTGTATTTAAACTTCATTGTTATTTAGCTTATGTAGGATACTATATTGTCAAGTGTTTCATTTAAAATTTTCTGTTGTGTACTAAAAAACAGTCCTCATTTTTTCGGTGTCTCACACTTAAAAAAAGCTCCATCCTGATCCAAATGCCTTGGGCAAGGGCCATTCTTTTAACCTCAATGCGTTTAAACTACTGTTTGCTTTTTGCTTCTGCATAGTACTAAGTTTTCCCATACTTAAGTATGTATCTAGAATTTAGATATTCATCTTCAATCAATTTTTAAACATGCCCCGTTCGCATTACAAAAGAACTTCTAGATTTTTCTTGTTAGTTTCTCTTAAGTATAGCTTTTGTTTTTCTTCCATTTTCAGGTACCTTGATAAATTGCATGTTTTTCTTATTAGGACCATTCATGAATTGGATGATAGTGTTAGTCAGGTCTTGTATGTAATAGATGAACACCTTGCAATTTTAGGATACACACTCTTATTAAAGAGATAAGAAAAAGGACACCATTTTGTCCCTCTCGTATATAGGGCTCCAATTAAAACCTTCTAGAAAAGGCTTAGGAGTAGGTAGGAGATACTCCCAGTGCATAAAGAGATAAGAAAAAGGACACCATCTCATCCTCAATCTCCTTATCCCCACTCATAATATCACTTTGCAGTGTTTTACATCGGAACAAACAGATTGAGGTCCCTCTTGAAATCAATAACCCAACTACAATTAGTTCGGTCCCAAAAAGATCTTGATATAGCATATAACTAAGAAATCTCTAAGAATTCCTCACAATTTTTAAATGTCAAAAGTCATCACATTACTGCTGGAAGCTGTTTGACTATTATGGCTATCATGGAGTTTTACCAGGGAGTGTTAATGAGTATTCGATCCATTTTGTGTGGAGCATGCCTTCATAAGGTAGGAATTGGTTCTGTGGTTTAATGCTCTATGGATTCTCCATTGGATTGTATAAGAATCCAAGCAATGTATATACTAATGTTATTGAGAGGTCTCAGAGATTTTTGTAGGATAATTTCGTTTGGTGGCTTCTATTTGTGTGGGTTATCTAAGTCTTGGTGTAATGATCCTATTTCTTCCACAGCCAAGGGCGTGTCTTTGTAAAGGGTAACTCAGTAGCCAACATCAAAGTCTCAGTAGTCCATTGTAAGGGTGTCTTTGGGGAGGGTGTTTCAGTAGTCTCATTAATTTGTTCATGGTTTTGTTAATATATTTTTGTATATTTTATACTTATTTTCCTATTAACGAATAAATTGCTTGGATTTTTACGAAAAAGAAAATGCTTTGCTTGGATAAACTTTGCACTGTGAACAATCAAATATCTAAGAAGTCTATTTTGCCACTTGGTTTTAGAAAATTGTAAGTAATGTTTCTGAATTTTAGTAAGTCAATATTGTCATGTAGGTGAGACTAGTGATAAGTTGCAATCTGGCCATGCTTCCAAAAAGCCCCAAATGCATGTCCATATGCCTCCTGAACTTGTGGTTAGCATGGATGTTCCAAAGGGGGTTTGGAAGTCAACATACTTACTACCATCTTTGATGCACCGTTTGGAATCTTTAATGTTAGCTAGCCAGCTTAGGAAGGAGATTAATTATCATTCGAATAGCCTCTGTATATCAAGCTCATTGGTGAGTCCTTTTTGTTGATGTGCACTTGACTTTGATTAGTTTTTATGAGCCATTCATAATATGATTGATCTGAAACATCTTCGTTACTAGATTGTGGAAGCTCTTACAACCCTTGGATGTTGCGAGAGTTTTTCCTTAGAGCGGTTGGAATTGCTTGGTGATTCAGTTTTGAAGTATGCTGTGAGCTGCCACCTCTTTCTCAAGTTTCCTGAAAAACATGAAGGACAGTTATCTTCTCAGCGCCAACAGGTTATCTGTAATGCAACCTTACATAGGCTGGGAATAAAGTGCAAGTTACAGGTATTTCATCTCCTGTGGACACTGATGTCCTTGACAAACTTCTCTGTTGCTTCCTGTGCTTAGTGCGTATTCACAATATATACTCATGTTGTCTTTTCAATTAAGTATCTGGTACAGTTACTTTATTTTCTAATAAATTAGTTTCTACTTTTAGCTACTAGCTAAATCTGTAAATTCTGCCATTTGTCCTTCTAAATGGATCTGAAAATTTTTGTTTGAGGGGGTCTTGGATGTGCACTTACGATGGGGAGTTTGCCGGCCTCTAATAGTGGACAGTTACCTTCTATTATATTTGCCTTCCCCATAGTTCTGTTTGTTTGCATCTTTGTATACATCCATGATATGTTCAATTTAAAGATTCAGAAACATCCGTTTTTGTACAATATGGACACCATAAAGGACACAATTATGCCATTGACATGTTGAGGCATAAATTTTCAAACAATTAAGATTTGGGCATGCATATTGACTTCAAATATAATTTTGTAAGAACTTCAATTAAAACCAGAAATATATAAACATAAAATGACAAGTAACGATGCAGCTGAGCATCCGAATCTATATAATAATTCAAATAATGAAGTTGGATTGAAAAAATAGGAGAACACCATATTGATAGGTGCTGCCTCTTAGCTAATTAGCTGACTACCTAATAAAGCAACTAACTTTTTTTTTAACTAGAAACAAACTTTCATTGATATTATAAAAGTGAAGAAAAAATTTCAAGGATACAAACTCTCAAAGGAAGCGAAAAAGAAACAAACAAACAACAAAGAGCAAAGCTCCCAAGAATACAAGAGAATAGAAACAAAGAAGAACAAAACAACTAAAGTTCTGACAAAATGGCGATCCGAAAAACCAAATACCACTAGCTTATCTCATTGGAAGAACTATTGAAAAGCCTTCAAGTTTTGTATCCATTCTTATATCTTCACGACATATTTTTTCTTCCGAGGAAGGTACATTGTCCTCATTTGTTTAATTTCTGACTTCTAACTGCTAGTAGGACAGGTAGCTAAATTCTACCCCATAAATTTGATAACTCTGAACTTGCTACTTTTGTTACACACACACACACATTAAATTGTAACTGTTTCTTAATTTTATTTTAAGGGATACATTCGTGATTCTGCATTTGATCCACGTCGGTGGGTGGCACCAGGACAACGTACTACTCGCCCTGTTCCTTGTAAATGTGGAGTGGATACAGTAGAAGTTCCTTTGGATGACAAATTCTGCACTGAAGATCCAAAAGTCGTTTTGGGTAAATGCTGTGATAAAGGACACAGGTGGGTGGTTTCAAAAACTATAGCCGACTGTGTTGAAGCCCTTATAGGGGCCTATTATGTTAATGCTGGAATTGATGCTGCACTCCATGTGATTAAGTGGCTCGGAATTGATGCTGATCTTGGTGTATCATTAGTTGTTGATGCAATTACTTCTGCATCTCTGAGATCCTGCATCTTGAAAGAAACTGAGATTGAAACCTTAGAGTCAAAGATTGGATATGAATTTGCTGTCAAAGGATTATTGCTGGAGGCTATAACACACACATCTGATCAGGAGCTTGGTGTAAATTACTGTTACCAGGTAGTCAACGGAATTCATTACTCTGTCACGTATGATGTAACTGACTGTACTCACTCTCTCTCTTCACCCCTTTATAGTGTTTGTGAGTAGGGAATGGCTTGATTTCAGTATGGGGTTTGGACTTCAATTCGAAGATATAAATTGAATTATTTTTATGATTTAGTGAGCATAATGGTGAAGATTTTGCCAATTGCAACCAATTTAACAGTTGAACTTAAGTTTTCTTTCTCCTTTATGTTATATGTTGCTCCAGTAAATCTAAGATCAGAAGTTGTTACATGTCAAAAGAATGATGCTATAGGAGTGTGAAATTCCACCTGATTTCTCTCTCTTTTCCTCAGAGGCTTGAATTTCTTGGTGATTCAGTGTTGGACTTGCTCATTACTTGGCATTATTACCAGACCCACTCAGATATTGACCCAGGCGAGTTGACTGATTTGCGTTCAGCTTCTGTTAATAATGAGAATTTTGCTCAAGTGGCTGTGAGACGGAATCTTCAGCAACATCTTCAACATTGCTGTGGGCTTCTGATTGGTCAAATAACTGAATACGTGAAGTATTTGTCTGAGTCTCTTGATGCTGGAAAGTCACTGCATGGCAATAAAGGCCCTAAGGTTACTTGTCATTCAAAATTTTGTTATGTACTGCATTTATTATTATACCATTTTTGTCATTATTACACAGGTTCTTTATGTGGAGTTTCATTTATTATTAAAAAAAATTACATATTTTTTGTACTATTTTTTTTATATGATACAGTTGACTTCCTCCCTGATGTCATGGTTCTCAACTATTGTTTTTCTGCTCTCTACTTCCTTTTATGTCCATCATTCTGATTCAAATGCTCTTATCCTTTTCTACTACAGGTTCTTGGTGATATGGTGGAAAGTATTGCAGGTGCCATACTGATTGACACAGAGCTTAATCTTGACGAAGTGTGGAGAATATATAAACCACTATTGACTCCTTTTGTGACCCCTGATAAACTTGAACTTCAGCCACTCAGAGAATTAATTGAATTATGTGATTCTCTTGGGTATTTCATCAAAGATAAATGTACTAGGAAGGGAGAAATTATTCATGCAGAACTTAGATTACAGTTACAAGATGTCTTGTTGATAGGTGAAGGATATGAACGGACCCGAAAAGCTGCTAGAGGGGAAGCTGCTCATCGCTTATTAGTTCAACTTGAGGTAAAATGTTGCCTGATTCAATAGCCAGCATTTTATTATTTCTATTTTCTTTTATAAAAAAGAACCAGGCCATCAGATTGCACTGATTTTTTTGTTTATTTGATCAACTTTTATGTAATTCCTTTTAGTGGATTGCACTTGGTTAAATATCATTTATGTTCACTACCTTTTGAGTCCTTGTTTACGTCTTCAGAGAAAGAAAATATTAAAAGGTGAGATGTTCTGTTCCGAAGGGAAAGTTATCTTGTTCAAAGAAGTTCTGGGATCATCCACTGGGAAACAAATATTATTTCTTAAGTGAATAGGAACTTAGTGCGTTTGCTTGACTCTTATATTGAAAATGTCACTACTACTAAGTGATGATGTTTTGGTGTTACCATTTTCTGATTTATTTGACACTGCTTGCTTGTAATGAAATACGTGAAGGATGTGAGGAGTCTATGTCTTAGAATGAAGCAATTTTCGAATTTATATTCTCTGTTCCAAGGCAGGAACTATTGCATGTATATGTGGTTCTTGGTCTCATCAGCTGTGATTATGGCTTTTTAAGGAAAAGGTTGATTGCTGAATTACTAGAGTGCAGTCCCCTCTTGTTGTTGTTGTTGTTGTTGGCGGACGGGGAGAAAACCAAATCCCTACGCTGAGGAAGCTTACTAAAAGAAAACGCTTCTGGGTGGCATAAATAGAACTGAACAAAATTTTTATCTTCCTTCTAGTATATGTTCTATTTTTCTTTTTATGAGATTCAATTTCTTATAAATACAAAAATGGAATTCTTTTTTTTTCCTTAACCTCTCGGCTCTTTTGGGATAGCTTATCTACCCTTTTCCAATCCTTTCTTATATATGGAATTTTTATTCGTGTTTAACAAAATGTTTCTTATCCATGCTGAATGGTATTTCAACTTTTTATTTGTTATGGTGCTCATGCTGGGCTATTGTGATAACAGACTAGAGGAATTTATTACTCTCGTTCTGGTTCGAAGAAGAGAAAACAGAATCCCAATCATGTTGGTGAGTGTCATCTTCCTGGGAGCTGGTTAAGGCGTTAGGCTATCCTACCAAAAATCTAAGTCTTTTTTGGGTCTGCAATCCATAGGACAAATATGATTGAATTTATTTTTGCAGAGTCTGCTCTGGTTCTCCCGTCATCTATCAACTGTTCTACAGAAGCCTGTGATCCCAACTTGGAGACTCCTGGTTTGCTCCCCTTCTCATCTAATTTGGTTTCGTTTGTGAAGATATTTGAACGCTGTAGAATTTTGTAACTCGTACAATAGTGTAAGATCACTGCCTTTTTCTTCCCAGATTCTGTTATGGTTCATTCATCAGCCACCAACTGCTCTACAGAAGGCTATAGTCCCGGCATGGACATCCCTGGTTTGCTCTTCTCCCCATCTAATTTGATATTGTTGGTTAAAGACCCCTTGACACTTGAGGGAACTATATAATGTGAATGAAGCGTTTGGGTTTCACTTTTAATTTCAACCACGCCTCCTCTCCTTCTCGGCTCTTTTGTACCTAAAATCTTTAACCTATTCATGTGTTTTGAACTAAAAATTAGAGCTGGACAAGTCAATGGACCCATTAAAATTTGATTGTAAATATGTTCATCTTTTCAGCTTTAGTGGTCTCAATTATAATTTAGTCGACTTTACCCTCATGGGTAATCGTTTAGAACCTCGTAAAAACTGGGATAGTTCCGTTTTCAAGTCTTTCCTGCTTAGATTCTTCTACTTGAGAAATTTTATTTGCATTCCGTTCTCATTATTTCAATGTTGAGTTTCATCTTTGAACGAAGTATGTTGTATAGGATGAATGATTGATCAACATTTTACAATAAATGGAGAGTTAAAAGTGCATGTTGCGTTCTGTTGGTTTTTTGCAAGCTGCAATAGTTGGGAAAAGTTCGTCCTTTTTACTCTAAAAGGGTAATGCATTTGGTGGAAAGTAGTGTAAGATATAATTAATTACATAGCACTGATTTTGAGTTGAATTGAAAAAGTAGGAATTTCAATGCTTAGTTATGCATAATGATTTGAAAGTTGAAAATTTGCGTTCTGATTTGAACCTTGTTTAACTAGATATCTTGATAAGCCTCGGAGGCTGGGGGATACATGTTTTCATGGATTAAACTATTGTGCATTTGTAGGAAAAAGGAAAACGAAAAAGAAAAGAGAGACCTTGCACTTTACAATTGCTTCATATTGATATGTTAATTTCTGGAGTTCTACTGATGTCTTGTGGCTTGTACCCAAAGTATATTCTCAGCAATGTTCACCAAAATCCTTATCTCGTGGTCTTCGAGTTTAGGACCTAGATTTATGCAAATAAAGGAGTTAATATGATCGTATTTGCATCACTTGCTGCACTCATCGAGTTTACAACTGGAGTTTAAGCTCCTTTTCCTTGAGTTATTGCATTTGTTGCCCATTTTGCAGTTATTGGACCAGTCAGCCTAAAGAAAGGAGGACCACGGATGACTCTGTTTGAACTATGCAAGAAATTGCAGTGGCCTATGCCAACTTTCAATACAGTAGAAAATAAATCAAGGTCAGAATTACTATCTTCTCCATTTTCTTTGAATTCTAACTTTTTGTATTTGCATACATCTATACGCCCTCAGAATCTATCCTTGAAAAACAACTAAAAATGAAAATGGCATCTGTTGTGTTGACTCTGAAATATTTCTTCTATCGATTTGAGTCGCTAACAAGTAATTGCCCTTCCGTACAGAGTCCCAATGGAATTTGGTGAAGGCTCTGAGAGAAGAACAGGATTCAACAGTTTTTGGTCAAATATTATTTTGCAAATACCCAATGCTGGCAGTATTGAATGTGAAGGTGATGCCCGAGCTGATAAGAAGAGCTCGCTCGACTCTGCATCACTCGTCATGCTCAAGGAACTCCAACGACAAGGAAGAGTCAATATTAACGACTCATGAGCCTTGTCTTTCGCAGATCCTAAAACCAGTCTCATCCAAAAATAACTTCTCCGGTTACCTAAAATTAGTAGTTCCTAACAAAATTTAATTTTAGTCTTTTATGTCATAGGATTTTGTTGGTAGATCTCTAGGCGGGTAGTCTCCTCTCACCATTCTGTTAACCAAACCTTTCAACTATGATGTTAATATTAGAGCACCCAATTGCCAAACAAATATCGATGCAAATCACACCAAAGAGTAAACAGAACTTCCCAGTTTCCAAAGAATTGTTCTAAACATTTGGAGTAGAGCGTAGCTAAAGATAATTGAACACAGAAGTGAAGCGTTTTCTCCAAGACATTATATTATTTTCAAAATAGTTCCTATTTGTCTTCAAACTTATTCCAAAAAATTATAATATTCACACCAAAATTATACAAATTTGTGATAAACTTAGAAAGCTATAATCCAAATTTATATTTATTGTATTATTGTTCAAATAATTCTCAAACAAAGCCTTAAAATTAAAGGTGAAATGATTGTAAAACTTCACCCCTTCATAAGTTGAAGAGCATGCACTATCACTAAATCCAACAATGTGAGCTTGCTCTTGATTATCGAACATGCTAAGTTAGCTAGAAATTCAACATGGTGAGATAGCTACAACTCCCTGTAAAGATTGAAGTCTCATGCTCTGATCAATAACTCGTAGACGTTACTATTATTATCGACACCAACACGCTTCAACATTTCAAAACTTCTGCGGCTCCCCAAGAATTCGATCCTTTTGAAAGCTGTATAACCAGATTCTGTTGTTTCTCTACTGCAGTAAACTGACCGAAGTCGGTCAGCGTGCCTCGAGTCAGTGTGAATCGCCATCTCGACTTCGTGATATGACATGTTCTCCTGCCAGTGAGAGCAGAACGCTTCTTGTAAGAAGAATTAACCCACTTCCATACTGATGAACATGCTGTATATTTACATATGAAAAGAATTTAACTCGGAGGAAAGAATTTACTTTCGTAGGAATACCTCATAGAATGCATATATATGATCCAGAATTTGCAAACATGTGAACCCATTTTCGCTAAAGAAAGTCCTCGAAGATGGACCCATCTCGGAGAATCGATCCACTGGAAACAGTATGGTCATGTAATGGTTTTTGGATACAACTTCAGATTTCTCACTGCAAGTGAAGATGGTAAAAATTTAGAAAATGCAGTTGCTGTCCCGGGTTCAACATTGGTCAAACTATAAGGTCACATGAATTGTTTTGAGGAAACCAATCGAATGCATTGATCTCAAACCGTATAAGTGATCCGACCTTTCACTGAGCGGACGAGTTAAGTTAGAAAATGAAGCTTCTGATTCCTTGCCATCCCCAGTTGCATCAAAGAACTCTGGAGTATGATGCTCACTAACACCTTCACTACTGAAAGTGTCTGTGTAAATAGAAGCAGATGAACTTGGCTCAGATATTGACCAGCAGATTGAATCCAAAAGGCTACTTGGGGTTAATGGACGTATTGGGTTTTGACATGTCTGTAAAAGAAGATAACAAACCAATAAATGCCATATTTCTCTTCAATACTGCAGTCAATTATCCTATGGAAAATTTCCATTTTAAGCCATGTCAATATAGATTTTCAATTCAGAGACTCATCAAAGTGATGTAGAAAACAATCAACAAGTCCTTGAGAAGTACAATCAAACATAAATAACACACAAACGTAGTAAGGCCCCAAATAAAATTCAAATGAGGAACAACCTGCATTCGACAACCACGACGTTTCCTAACGCCGAGTTTAGCATTTGAAATAATCTGCTCGCGTTCTGCCTGGGTTGCCCTACTCCTAAAAGTTCCAGCATCTTCTGTTTGCCTATGTACTGTCTGTAGATGACAAATAATAACAATTAAAATACTAATTAACAATATTCTACAGATGTCACAAGTTATTTCTTACTGCATTATAGGTGCAAAAAAACTGGGTTAGGAGGTTCATCAAGTGTTTGCATCAAGTGTTTAGTGACTGGAGTTGATTTTAGTGTGTTCATCTTACTGCATCAAGTGTTTGCATGATGCAGTATCTGAGAACAACGTGTGTGATTTTCCTCTTTATGAATTTTTTGGCTAAATATGTGTTGTAGTCCTTAATGTTCGGAAGTTTTCCAATGTAGTCCCATAGTTTAAGAATTTTTAGTTTAGCTCCTCACTGTTGGTGAATGTTAAAATTAGCTGATAATAAAATTACATTACATAATACTTTGTGAATTTGTGAAAATTTAGAAGAGAAAATATCGAGGGAAGAAAACTCGAAATTTCTACAGTTTAGAGAGGGAATTATAAACTTTCCTCGTCTAAATTTCACCAATTCACTAAATATTATTTTTAGTAAGTTTATCGTCAGCCAATTTTAATATTTACCAATGATGAGATACTAAATTGAAAAATGTTAAAACATAAAGGACTAAATGAAATATTTTAAATAATAGGGACTAAATTGAAAAGACTCTCCAATATTAGGAACTAAAACATGTTTCTAGCCTTATTTTTTTTTATAACAGGACTTTTCCGGCTGCTTAATGGCTCCTGTGTAGGGTAAATTCAATCATTTAAATTAAACATTTACTCTGCCAGCCAGATTACTGCACTATCATGGTTCAGTATTAATACGGTGTTGAAGCATGCTTACTGAGATTATGTTAGAATAATTGTAATTATGAACTCCCTCCATATAGCAGGAAACCTTATCGATGGCAGAGATATTTGGTTAGTCACATCAAAATTACTAACAAAGATAGTTCCACGTTATATACTGCTCAGCAATATAAGGATTAGAGTAAGAAGTCGAATGCACCTCGATATAATTTTCGGCACAAAAATCTTCAAGTGTTGAACTAATCTGTCGAGCCAAGTCAGCAGACATGTGAATAAGTCTTTGCGCACGTTTTTCCTTCACCGTTTTCAGAATCCAGAGTGGCTGAGAGATTGTCAGATGAATCTCAGTGAAGCTAGAAGATAAAAAATCAACATGTAGTCTCAAAATAAAGATAAATTTTTTCGTGGGGTAGCTAGGGCAGTCAAGGGTTTTTTTTAAACAAGATATGAAAATTTTATTGATAAATGAATAGGGCGGTCAAGTTATCTGATACCATTGCAGGCCAGACATGATACAAAGACAGCAAAACCCCATAGTCCATATATATTTGAAAATTTCCTGACTCTAAGAAAATTCCACCATTAAGTAACATAGAAAGAAGGATTCAGATTTGATGAACATTGAATACAAAAAATAAAACACTACTTACTGTAACTAAGTTGCTAGAGTGGCCAAGATATCGATATATGGAAGTCCTTTCACAAACAACATGAGTTGTGCTGCAACCAGCAAACCATTGATCCACAAGTGAGGCACCAGCTCCCTTAGCAGCCTCGATAACCTACAAAAATTATGGAAACAAATTCCTCATGTGTAGCCTGCAAACTAACAATACCAACATCACCAGTGTGGAGTTCCATAATACTCGTGAAGCCTATCTTTATCATGCACCAATAGGCAATAGTTACTTCTGTGGCGTTAGAGCTATACAACCATGGTGCTTCTAAATTTCTAACAAGATTACCTTATGTCGCAACTCTGGTGAAATGTCTGTATCAATATACATGGATTGACTGGAGAGAATAGAGTCCATTCTTCTATCGTGATCTCCCTTAGGTAACATTAAATGTGATTCTCCTATTGTACCATTTTGCTCAACTACATGAATGCCCACTGGAAGGCAGGAGTTTCCATCACCACTGGACCCTACTAGTTGGTTCAATTCATCCAGGCGTTTACTATTTTCTCCAAGACTCTTGATATTATAAAGAGACTCGCTAAGTCTTACTGCAACAGATTAAAACAGTCATATTTCTGCTGCAAATTCACTCAAATAGAAAATTACAGTAACGCTAGTAACTGCATATGCTTATGCCACCTTATAATGTTATAGATTAACGTGAAACGTATAAAGCAATACAAATAAGGTAAAAAACCTACAAGTATCTCTACCAATACAAAAGAAATGAATAAAAAGGAAAACCTACAGCCTTCCAATAGAAATATATGAGAAAACAATCCTGATTTGTAGGATTGCTCTCAAACTTTCAATAACATCATTATATTGAACCTCCATCTAAATCTATTGAGTTTTATCTTAATCATTAATCTCATGTACTATAGTTAAAGAAAATACTGGACGATCTGCACTGAGACATAGGCAATTTATATATGATMCCACATACTATAGACACCCTCCTCTCCGTGGAAAAGCTTCTCTCATTTCAAAATCACATTAAAGAAATCTAACATTAACAAGGATATATGTGTTTATGGTTGACACAAGATCTAACATAGTTAAATAGAAGTTATAAGATTTTGAGAATCCATTTAAAAAGAAAGGTAAATACTGTATTTAGCATTTATGATAATGATTTGAGTATGGAATTTAATGCCCTTTGCAGAGAGCTGTAGTACATGAGAACAAAATTTTAAGAATAAACAAAAAATATCATAACCAGTTACAGCACTCAACATTAAATACTACATTGCTAGTTCTTACCATTTCTCCGTACGCTATCTACAAACCAGCCAAGAGTGACAATAAAGAGCCCATTTCTTGATCCATGCTTAAAAGCATGCTCAAATTTGCGTCCACCTAAACTGTAGTAACTGTCAAGGCATTCATGCCAGCATTGACTTTCAAGAATACCCCATATATTGAAAACAATGTTATATCCAAGTCTGATGATAAAATACTCGCTTAAAACTATGGAATTTCTACCACTTAGACAAAATTATAGGACATCCACGTGAAATAGGATCAGAAAGTATAAAAATATAGATATAATACATTTCTTTATGAGAAACAATTAAATAAGAAAAGAGTTCTGAAAGAAGAGGGAAGGACAAAAAATCCAAATCCAAGCTGCCACAAGAGGAAAATCTCAAATTGGTCTCAGATGCCTTAATTAACACCTCACAAAATCTTAATAAATATGCATTTTTTTTTCTAATTAACCTTGACAACAAGATCAGGCAATTTACTACAAGATAAGTAGGGTTCACGAAAATGTTACCATAGGGGTTAAAATATCCCAACAATATCATATGAAAACAAGAAACAAAGTTCAATACATCCAAGAGAAGCTAAAGGATATTTGAACCACCAAATGGCTACATTGTGGATGCAAATTGGGGCTGTAATGTCCACCTAACCTCTCCGTAGCTTCCTTAACTTGTTTCCTTGCTTCTGCAGAATATGATGCAAATTATTGACAGTTGAAGCAAAAACTTATTCAAAGAAAAATGTAAAGCCCACAATTCAACGATTTTTTTTTTTTTTTTTGGGGGGGGGATAAAAGACATACTTAGATTTAAAACAGTTTAAAACAGCTCAAAAAAGAGAATACAGCCTAAGGGCAGAGGGTTGAGGAAACCCTCTCCAAGCACCAAACGATTCTTCAAATCTTCATCCCATAAAACTTGAGCAGATAGTTTAACAACGCTTCTTTGCATGGAAACTACCCATATGACTGGCTTAATTGATTAAGCAAGCTCAAAATCATTAGCGTTCTCATCAAATTAGCATGCAATGGAAATCATCCATTCAAAAAGGAGAAAAAGCACCTTTGGAGGAATTTCGTTTGAGCTTTTTTATGGGTCACTTGGCAAGAGCGGAATCACAGAATTTTCAAAGGAAAGGAACTTACTTTTCACCCTTTTTTTGACGCTAATGCTCTCCTCTTTTCCATTACTATAGCTACGCTTCTCTTTTATCCAATTGGAGATCTTTTATATAACTCCTTTGGATTGGAGTTTTCCCAAATTTTATAATTTCATATGATCAATGAATTTCTTATCCAGAAAAAAAAAATTATCAGGCAACCAGTTTCTGATTAACTCCATAGAGCAATTACCATCTAAACAACGAAACTAACAGAGTAGAAGCAGAAGATTCAATCTAATACACAAAACCAATAGCGAGCACAAAAAATGACAATGTTGAAGAAAAGATTTTATGGTATACATCCACACCTTTGGATAAACCAGTAACGCAAATTACGAGTCCAGAAAAGGGACCGGTTAACCGAGTTTTCACCGGTTCAGACCTTAAAGACGGTGAAGCGGGAGACATGGACTCAAGCTGTTGCAGGCCTCCCAATGACGATAACGGCGATGAGAACCCAAAAAGCAGCCTAGAACAACCTTTACTGCTAACCACTTCGACCGTACGACCTCCCATAACCACCACCACCACCACCACCACCACTCAGCTTACTGCAAAACCTCAAAACAGAACAGTTTCGGAAAAGTTCAACCCTAGAACGACAAAAAGGGTAAAGCACAAGACAACGACTAAGAAGAATGGAGATTAGAGAATATACCCATCACATGAAACTTAAAACCGTGCACATTTTGAGAAAGGGCGTCGAAGAACAGGCAAAAGAAACCGGAAAAGTAAAATTCGTTCAAAGGCGGGAAAATCTTTTGAAACATAAGAAAGCGTAATCCGGAACCAGGAACCAGAATTGACATGAAAAGAAGGTTTCGGAAGATTTGACCGAATCAAAAGAACTGATTCTCAGAAATGGAAAAGGCAAAAGGAAACTTTAATTGGGGAAGAGAGGAATCAAAAAGAAAAGCAAAACAGAGGTCGAAAAGAACGAAATCAGGGAATTTAAAAACAAAATGTGAATTTTTAAGAGTAATCCAAGTTTCTTCTTTAGACGCAAAAGCGAACTTTCTTGAACGAAGCGATGAGCTTTGAGAGTGGAGTAGTGGTACTGCTACTGGTGGCGTTCTTGGTGGCGTTCAAATGGAAAAGCAAATCAATTTTAAATTGTTTGTTTTTCCTGCTAAATTGGCAGCCCTTCGTGTTGGGAGTTGGGATCCTCGTGTCATTTCCAAATTTGTTTTCGAGATGTTTGGTATCCATAAATGAGGAGGGAGTAGGGATGTTAACGGGGACGGGCAGTGGACGGTTAACTTCCCATCCCCACCCCCGATTTAATTCCCAACGAAATTTCTCATTTTTTTAAAATTATTTTTCAATAAATATTTTTTTAAAGAAATTTTTACTTAGTAGGGTTGTAATTCTCTCAAATATATATATTAGGTGGCGGATAGTGAAGAATACATGATTTTCTTAATACATATATGTATAAAAAAAATATGATATAATTACTTTAGTATGGGCGTATATATAGATACATATTAAAAAAATTGACGCGGGGCAAGGAGGAGGAACCCATTTAAGTGGAATTAGGGGAGTGGACGGGATCTCATGGGAAAAATGAAGAGAATTTTGTAAATTCATTTAAGTTTAATTTGTATTATTTTCTATTTTAGTTGTTAAAGTTTATAAAAGATAATTATTTTAATTGTTGTTATTAATTCTACGCTAATTCTACAAGTCTCGAACATTTTTTTTTTCTTTTCAGAAAGTGCGATCTTAAACTTACTATTAAACACAATTATCACATTTCTTGCTATTTTGATTAAATTCTATTGTATTAAAAGTTTGAATGGATAATAAAAAAATTTTCTTGGAGTTCAGGATTTAAAATTGATTTTCTTTTTACTCATTTACATGTGTCACGTTATCTTTTTGGACTCCTTTTCATTTTTTTAATTAAGATTGAATTTAACTTGAGTAACTTTAAAAACAAGTATTTTCAGAGCCAACTTAGAGTTGGGACAGCACTTGCTTGATTCGAAATTCAATAATTAAAATGACTATTTGAAAAAAAAAAACAATAAACATAAAATATGTTGCACATCCTTTATAAATGTTCAAGCTATAATAAAGCTTTGAGTAACTTAAGTTACTAGATTTGTGTGGCTTATATCACTCCATTCAATTGAATGATCGGTAACTTATAAAAGTGTATAAAGTGAGTTTAGGATGACTTTTGAAACGATGAAAAACACTTTTCAAAATTTTCACGGTCCATGATTCTAAAAACATTTCAAACCATTTTTTTCGTTGATTATCTCAAACCTACTATAAGTCTAAAAAGCAGGTTTCAAACTTTCGTGTAGCTCGTGAAACCAATAAACTCACAAAAACTCGAACTCAATTTTTTTTCATGAGTTAATGACTCAAATGCCCCCTTAAACTTTAGAGAAAGAGCGACGGTGGCTGAAGGCTGTGGCATGGTCCCAAGTCCTTTGCCTAAATTAGTGCTTCTATATTGGATCTTGTAATGTGATGTATGCTAAATGGGGACACATACAGTTGTGATTTGTGTTAAAAGTAGACCATACGTATGATGATTTTAGACGTGAATAGCCAACCAACTACCCACTTGAGGAATTTTAAATATCCCAAATAGACTTCTCACACATTGGGAACAACCTTTCAAATTTGATGGGTGTTGAATCAGACAAATAGAGTCAAATCTATAGAGATTGATCATTAATTTGTTTATCAAAATAAAATTGGGAAGTTTTTGAAAAATTGTTGTAGATAAGAGATAAAGAAGTTTGGGTAATAATTGTAGGAATAAATCATTGATTCAAAGATAAATTTTCTTATCTTCTTAGATTGATTATGATTATTGGGAAGAGCTAGCAACCTATTTCTTGTGGGTGGTCTAGAGGGATAGAGAGCTACGGTGGTTGGAGTTGAGAATTTGAACCAAAATGATTTCGTTTAGGTAAGAAGTTCCAATCATGTAATTGTCAAATTGACTTTGGTTTGATCATTTGGAAAATTTATTCTAAAGCTCCACAAACGGCTAACAAAAACTGATGATATCTTTCCCTATTTTCACGCATTGAATTAAAAATAATGGTTCGATTTCAATTGGCCCAAAATGATGCTCTAAAGATTTGGATGAATTATCTTGAAATTAGGAAAAAAAAAATAAAGAACAAGAATAAAAGGGTTGACTTCCACCATGCCAAATGCCCTTCAGCAAATTTGAAAGCAAACAAATCTATTTTCAATACATTGCATCTACTGCTAAGATTCTTCAGTTTGGACATGAAAATGACAATATTCAATCAGTCTAGCAGCAAATGACCAATTAATTTAGGTCATAATCCACCCTCAAACAACCTGTACCTACTTCTCGATCACAGGTTTCAAGAAACAAAAAAAAGGAAATATATGTATATTATTTTTTGGTTAAAAATCACTTTTGGTGTTTTATTGAAGCAACGAGTTAGTTTCAGAAGTTTAATTTGTAACGATTTAGTTCCTATATTTTCAAATTTGTAATAATTTAATCTCTGAACTTTAGCATATAACAATTTAATCCACGTAGTTCAAAATTTGTAACGATGTAGTCCCTATCGTGAAAAATGTGTGCGACCAAATATGTACATAAACTGCTAAATCTTAAATTGTTATATAATAAAAATAGAAGCTTAATTTTGATAAGATTTTTTACGACAGAAACTAAATTGTTACATACTAAAGTTTAAGGACTGAATTATTATAAATTAAAAAAAATACAAAGATTAAATCGTTACAAATTAAAATTCAAGAATTAAATCACTACTTCAATCAAATTATAGGGAGCAAAATGAGCCAAACATATTTTTTAACCTAAATTTTTATCTTGTTTTCTTCGACTTGCCAAAAAGGAGTATCTATTTAGTTATTCTTCTACTTGAAATACCGTAGCTAACTTTTTAGTTAAGCTAGAACTAGGAAGAGTGTGGCTAAAAGTAAAACAGCCCACGCAGATTCAATAATAACTAAATAAGCCTATCTTAAAGTAATTGTAATTGAGACTCTAGTCGCCTCAGCCACCACAAAATAAAAAGAAAGAAAAGTAGCGTAGCTGTCCTTGTGTAAACTGTCAGCGAAAAACAAAAAGATGATTAAAGATATAGGATAAATGCTTATTTGGTAACGWTTTTGTTTCTTGTTTCTGTTTTTTTTTTTGTAAAGAAAAATAAATTGCTTAACCCCAACATCCATGAATTCAAGTACGATAAGAAAGAAATTATTTTTATTTATTTTTTGAAACAAATTAGAAACAGAAAGAAGAAACTTGTTTTAGTTGTTCCCAAAATTTCTATGTAATTTTGAAAATGTTCTAAAAAAGGAGAAATAATAAACATTTAAAAAGAATGAAAACAAAAAATAAAAAACGATAACGTTACCAAACGGACCCGAAGCTATCGATCTCCAAAAATGCTATAAAAGCAACTCAAATGTGCTTTCTTGAACTTTGTAGTTCTAATTTTTCCAATGGATAAAACTTCGTCTAGCTAAACCTATCAGCCTGCTGTCTCTCAACTATGGTTCTTCCGAGGATTTCCTTGATTTGAAATCGTTTTTCTAAATAAATAATAATAATAATTCTTCATGTCCAGGCAATGTAACATCAAATCAATGTCAATATCCTAATTAATAAATTGAAAAACTATGCTAAATAGAAAATGGCAGTTTAAACGTACTTTGGAACTTAACAAGGAAGTCATCCATGGCAGTTGTGTGTGGTATGTAACAGAGAAATGAAACAAGAGGAAAGATTATCTATACCTTGCCACAGAGGGGATATTGTGCTCCTGGTCCTGCCAATCAATGAAGCATGATCTTCGAGTACACGTCTATCTCACGGTTCTCCTGTTTGAGCCACCCCCATTAAATAAGGATCAGAACACAAATTTAAATAGAAAAAGCGGTATAACTAGTAATAGAGAGACAAGACACCCATCAGTCTGTAAGATTTCATGGAAAGCAATACTACTTCCAACTTTAGCCATGGGGTGTCAATGAGGTGATAACCGTGATAAATCTCACCAAAAAGCTTGATGGAAAAGAACTCACGGGCTTCAAGATCATCCATATGCTTTTCCACAAGTTTCCTGTGAATATCTGTTTTGGGCCTGTGAATAACCTGATAAAATTTTATAACGATCCAACTCCCATACCATCTTGTAATGAAATAAATAACGTTTTCACACGTTGTAATATGAAAATTGAGATAAATTAATCCGTCATATCTATATTGGGGGTGGGAGGGAGGAAAATTACATGGGAGCACTCGGTGCATGTTCTCTGAAAAACTTGGGGGAGAATGAGACCCCAAACAAGAAAAAAGGGAGAGAACTTGATACAACCAGCAGCGACTTGCAATGTAGTTTGTTAAATTGGTAACAGGCCATGAGCCCAAATCAAGATGAAAACATAAACTACAGGGATACTTCTGTATAAACACAACTTGCATTAATCACGTTATCCTTTTGATGTTGAAACTTTTCTGACCACATTGCATTTGCTTTGCATACAAACTTGAAATCTTTGACACAAAGAATCGATCTCCTGCTCCTTTTTCTCGTATATGAAGAAAGCTGTGAAGGCAAATAGAACCGCTGCAATATACAACAAAATATATGTTAGCTTTCTAGATGTTATATGCATCACGAAAGCTTTCATTATTACAACTTAAAATTACTAAAATCTACGGGAATGTGAAATTATGAAAATATGCATGGGTGAATTTTTTTTCCCTCTTTTTTATAAGAATCGAAAAAGTATTAATCACAACAAGAGGAAACTGTTAGACCACCGATTATCATACTTACGCAAGGAAGGGTAGAAAGGGAAATTGAGGTGCTGGCTGTAGGAGGAGGGGTAGAAAGGGAAGCTTGCTTTAAAGTTAGTTAGAGTAGGGATAGTACAGATAGCGGAAAAGGAATGTACGTAAGGGACCCCTTTGGCAATTGGGAGAGAACCTAGCCCTCTTGAATTGGCTGGTTTTATAAACCTTAGGACAACTTGCTTTTGAATATCAAGGAATATTGAGGAAGATACCTCACAGAAATAACCTAATGGCAGAGGGTAGAGATCACCCTCTCCCAAACCCTATACAATGAGAGTTTTTCAATCGTTAATAATCAAAGTGAGGCTATAGTTACAAAAGAATTTCTTGTGGTTGGTACATCACCACGACGAAAAAGTGCTGTATACTTCTATAAAACGAATCCACCAATGACTTTTCATCCTCAAACAACCTTCTACTCCTTTCCTTCCGGATCAACCACAACAGGGCACAGACTACACAGTTCCAAATGATAAAAGCTTTACATTTTTAACAGTGATCCACCAAAAATAAATGATATTCTTCTAAAATATCACACCCTCTGAAATAAATGATATTCCTCAAACACCATTTATGAACTTCTGTGACGCAAGTAATAATTTTACGAAATAACATGAAAAAGAAAAAACAACAAACAAAAAAAAAATTAAAAAATTAGGAGCAACGATAAGAACATAATGAATCTCGAGAGGCAAAAAATGGATATTGAGACTTCAATTATGATAGAGACTGCTAGAGTTCACAACATGAGGTGTGGACCGGGGGGGAGAGAGAGAACCTGTCTTGTATAAAGTTTGACGAGAAACCACTCCAATAAAGCTAAGAACCAACAGTGATACAGCAACCTGTCAATTGATGACAACAACATCTAAGTCAATCAAACACAATTGAAGTAATATAAATATCTCTTACATTGATTTCTCAAATATTTAATATGATTATTTTTGGCTTCTACGTCAACAGATTAAAGATGCTAATCAGAAATTGACATTCATGTCTCAAATTGTAAACAATGCAAAGAATACAGTTATATTTCCTTTTCTTAGTAACATTAACATTAATTTAGGCCAATATGCCAATATGAAGGAGGTGGATCTCTTCAAGATGGAGGATACGGAGGAGGTGGATCTGAGGCAAGGGACCCAATCCTCATCCTTTCTCTTTATGTTTGTAGCAGGTTTCGTAAGGCTTTTTTTCTTTTTCTAACAAGATAGAACTTCTTAAGCCATTTATAGACAAATTAAAAGAGGAATCTAGGATTGAGGGCTTCAATAAAATAAAACAGCAAGTTCACATTACCCACCGGCCACCATCAATAAGCATATGACACTATCACATTAGCCACCCTCCAAGTCGTATATTTTTTTTCATTGGCCCATAATGACCAATAGGTCAACCATGTGGCCCATGGTGGTTGAATAGGTCGAAGTGTTTCACAGATCTTAGTAGACTTTTTTCTTTACGAAAATTGAATAATCAAGTAGTTGCAATGCAGGCCACACCACAGTAATGCGAACTCAACTTTGTGTAGTGCATCAACTAGACATACAAAAGTCCATCTATGGAATATGCAAGGGAACCTTGTATTATCACATCCTCAATCTTTTCCATAGCAAGGGCATTGTGTGAAAGCAGACCAAATATTTGTTTCTGAAATAAAGGAAACGACAAAAAAGAAATGAAGAAGGTGGTTACCTTAATCAAGAGCATCCAATCATTCCCTTTGGAAAGAGATTTAAAATTTCTAACAAAAGAATTCCACAATGATGCTACAGAGACAGCAACGCTGCGTGACCTCTCTTGTGACAAGTGGAAACATGACGAGGAAATTTTCTCAACTCTATATCCCAACCTGCAACAAGATCCCTACAATTAGAGATCCAAATTTGATGCTAGGATATCTAAGCTGATTGCACATGCCATCCATCTACACCATGATAATAGGTCCCATTTTATTCCTATAGCTGTCAAATATGTAACTGCAACTAACAGCATGTCTAAGAGAGTAGGCAGACATACATTTTCTCTGGTAAATTCCCATTAATAAATAAAAATATCAATGCCACCAAGAGAAGCTTTGATAGTGCAGTGATCATGGTACATTCGGAAGCAATGAAGTTATAATAAATAGCCACCAAAACTAGCAATGCCATCAGTGTCTTCCTTTTATCCTTCCAGAGTAAAATGTCAGCAGCTGCCAAAAGTAATACAGCAGCAATGATAATTGGTTCATCAATCTTTCAGTACATACAAGTCAAGTTCACAAATAGGAAAGAGATTAAAAATCAGCGTGAAATATGAATAAGAGAACTGAAATCAGATTATTTTCAATTGGAATCAGATTACTAAAGATGTAAACTTATTGAGAATCAATATCCAATTCTCATTCTCATTGTTTAATAAACTCAGCAATGAGATCAAACATAAGTTAATAAAATGGTTGAACCATTCTTAACAATGTATAGCTTCTTGTCTTTAATGTAAAACATTATTAAAGAACGTATTTTTCTTTTCTTTTTATTTTCTATTTTCTATTTATTTGTTTTTCTTTTCTTGTAATTTATTTAATTTTACCTTCTAAAAATTTTCAAATAACATAAATTAATTACAATAAAAAATATTTTCCAAATTTGTATTAAAATAACACACTTGAAAACTAAAGGACAGAGCCTGAGTAGAAATATTAGTAGGGTTTTTGTTATTTAATATTTTCTACGAGTTTGTAACTCTATCTATTGCTAGTTAGAAATTATTTTTCCAAAAATTTTGAATACTTCTTACAAATTTCTTTTCTATTCTAAACAGGGGAAGGAGCAAAAAGCATAGAATTAAAATTTCGGGGTAGGCCACACTAGAAAATTAAGAATGAAAATGAGTCTTATTTTCCTAGAATATGAATATGTAAGTAACATTTTAAAAGAACAAAATAGGATCCATGAATTTTTTGTATACATGTAAACTTATGATTTATATGATATTTAGGAGCAAATATTGGAATTCATTTAGGTTTTTTCACAATTTATACCTTTCAATAAAATCTATGGTTTCAAACTATTAAAGGTTTACTAATAAAAAACATATTTTATATTCATAAATAAGCAATAATATCATATAAAGATTGATAAAAATGATTTATGATCCTTTATTTTTTTTCATTTATTATTTTTGGTTGAAACATTACTTTGTTAAATAAAAATGTGATACAGAAAAATTATATTTACAACTCAAAGTCTCAAATTATATATAATATTTAATATAAATATTAATTAAAAGCATTACATGACACGTTAAGATACACGATACATTAAATTGTAATTACGATTCACATTCTGATTCGTGTTAACAACCTTGTTGCTCAATAACAAAATTTCAGTCTCAAATTTATCTTTCCAAAATTAAAGTGGAAAATTTAAATTTGAAGTATTAAATTTAGATCAATAAGAATTTTACATTTAAAATATAATCATCTTAAATGTATTTATTTCGTTTTATTTGACCCGGAAAATAAAATTCGTTAGGTCTGCCCCTACATGGGCCCACCATAAAAATGTAAATCTTAGAAATGAGAAAGGTGGAAATTCGTTCTTATTCCTTGATTTTCATTTATTTGGTAAGTAGACTTGACCGCTTGCCCACAATCCAATAAGTGGTAAAGTACCAAAGAAAATTATTTTTCTGGTCACTTGCTAAGAGCTTAAACAAGCAAGATAGAATCAAAAGGAAAATCCTCATATATCCATTTCTCCTCGAGCCTTTAATTTTTGTTAAGTTGATAAAGAGACGAGGAACTGCTTTTTTATCCATCATGATTTTGCAATAAAAGGGTGGAAAACCAGCACCTAGAAACTAGTACAGAGGAAATGGAGGAAAAATGAAAACTTCAAAATTATTTTCTGAAAAAATGAAAATACATACCAGTTCCTCCCCTGAGGTATACTGAGGCTTTGGATGGCCCTTCTCTTTTATGTTGATGCTCGGCCTTTAAATGTGAGTATGCTTCTATTGTCCTTTGTATACCTTCCTGTGAAGAATAACTATTGCATTTCAACATCACATGGCTATTCGAGCATGTTTAAATACGGCAAATTGCTGATTGATCAGCAAACAAGCTAAGACTAGTATAGTAATACACCATATTCAAATTAACTGGTAATGGCAATAAACATAGAAGTTCATGTCCTGTGTAGACCCATGTGTGAAGAATAACTATTGCACTGCAAGCATTGATCATGGACATTCACAGCATCGCATGACTATGTAAACATGTTTAAATATAGTGAATTACTGATTGATCATCTAACAAGCTAAGACAAACCAACGCATTTTACCATGAATCATGAACGTCCACAGCATCAGGTGGCTATGTAAACATGTTTAAATATAGTGATCCTGTAAGGTTCCCTCACCCAAAAAATTGATATTCAAGCAAACAAGCTGATGAATACAAGCCCCTAACACAGAAGTCCTTCCAGCCTTTTAGAGAGTGCTGTCCTCTTCCTATCCAACCTTTGCCAAAAACAAACAAGACATACCTCCTTAAACAGAATCTGAAAAGATATATGGACCCCTACTAACTGTCAACATGTGAAATACCCTCCCTGCCCCTCCTAACGGAAGTATTTACTATTGGGGGCCTCACAGATGCCTTCGTAGTGAAAGTAAGCTACAACAGAAACCCATAATCATCTCTTCAGAAGTCTACAAAAAAGCTTTTCATTATGGAGTAAAAATTAAGCTACAAAGAAACCTATAATCCTCTCTTCAAAAGTCTACAAAAAACCACCAAAATTTAAGTTACTTCAAAAGGGCTTTAATTACAAGAATTAAACAATGCACTAGAGCAAGAACATTCGTATTTGGCTAGATCAAGAAAATTAAAAATTACACAACAAAAATTACCAAAAAGATCATAAGGCCAACGAACAACTACAAGGCGGTGGAACTGATCCAATGGGAAGAAATACAATCACACATCCACTTTAATTTTAACTTGACAAGCCATAGCTCTTTACTTTTTCCCCCCTTCCGTTTTTTATAAGAAACTGAGAACACATATTAAAACCCAATAAAACAACTTAAGAGCAAGGGATACTTTTTTAAATAATCGATAAGCTCACATAAAAGAAATAGGAAAGTGCAAATAAGCCTACACAAAAAATAGACAAGTCATAGTTCTTCATATTAGAAAATTCTCAGAATATTATTCTTTATAGAGCAAAATATGAATGGTTTTCTTTAGTTCCTACAAAAACATTGTTAACGGGAGGCGTTAAAAGAGTGTAGATTGAAGTGTTAGAAAATAGTGTTTACATGCACGAGTAAAAATTTTATGCAACTAATGATAAATAGAAGAACCTGAAGTGAAACTATGGGGGTATAGCCAATTCGGTCCTTTGCCTTTGATGAATTAAAAGTTCTACAACAAGAGAGGAGTCTTATTCGGGAAGGTGTGAACTGTGGAACAGGCATTCCGTAAGGACCAAAAAGCTTATAAGTCCAGTCCACAATATGTGCAATCGGCATCGCTACGAAGACGGGGATCTTTATTCTTGGCCTGCAACTCAAAGAATGCAAGATCTCAGTATCACATATCTTCAATTTACCAGGGCAAGAGAATAAAGATGGCTAGATACCAAATGATCAGAGGGAATACAATCAAATCTAAATTACAATAAAGAATACCTTTCATAACCAAGACCACCCACAATAAGTGAGGCAAACTCCCAAAACTTGATAGGTTCCATGTTAGTTATAAAATAAGCCTGCAAAATCCAATTCAAGTATAGGCTAAGCATCCTACAGAAACCTGAGTTTAATCCATTATATCGCTTCCTTATTAAGAAACCTGCAGTAGATATCTTAACATCATAATTTCTCCCTTTCTCGTGGACGGTACTGGATACACATGTCTGGTTTTATATGTACAATGAAAATTATAATGAGTTTCTAAGACAAGAAACAACCATACCATTAATATTCCAATGGTTTTTCCCCAATAATTAAGTGTGAGGAAACTATACCATTAATTTTTGTTTCATCATCCATTACATAATTTTTTTATCAGAAACCAATTTCTATGAATCCTTTTGGCCAATGGGAAAATTTATATATGTCATGCTTACACTATGGAAACATTTAGATTATTCATTATATTGAGAAGACATAAGGATAACCGGACATAAATGTATCCCTTCCATACCCTGACACATCACCCAATTTTTTGTTCTGAAAAAGTTACCTGCCCCGCAGCTTTTTCTGCAATTATTCCTCCTGAAGCTAGAGCTCGTTCAGCACATACATGAGCATGTCCCACGTTTTCAACATAAGTAAAGTCATAGGTGTTATTGCCATTACCAATAATGAACTGAAAGTTTAAAACATATGATGATTACAATGAAGGCCCAATTTTTTTTAATGCATAATATGTAGAACTTCGTGAAGAGAGGGACAGCAAATCAAATTCATCATATAATATTGAAGAGAGCATTAGATGAAATGTTATTTTAGAGTCTTAAAGGACAATGAGAATTTACATCTAAGGAACAAGAATGTTAATTAATGCAAATGTAATATCTGGTAATATTGCAGCTTGAAAGGAAGTCTTTTTCTCTGAGCTTCATCTGTTGGATGGAGAGGAGGTTTTAGTGTTGAGCAGCTTGGGTCTGGGAAAGAAATACGAGGAGCACAGGAACTGTCTTTTTGAAGGAGTCAAGGACAGAAGGTTGATATTTTGTGGAGGCAAAGATGAAAAATAAGACACTTAAAGCACAGTTGATTCTTTTTTTTTTTTTTTTTTTTAATTCCTTCGGGTTATCAAGCAAAAGAAAGAAGATTTTCATTTACTAAGAGATCTCCCATGGTCAATGATTAGGATGTGGAAGGGAGATCATCAACTTATATGGAAAGTTTTTCAAGTTTGAGGATAGTTATTAAATCCTCCCTGGGGAATTAACAGGATCCGATTGGAGAAAGACTTCAAAAGGCAATTAATTGGAGGTTCCTTTCCATGAAGAAGGGAATTGAAGGTATCATGTGCTATAAAAAATTTATGGTCTAACAAGACTCCTAGGCCAAATGGATTCATTTTGGAATTCTTCAAACAGACTTGAAAAATCGTTAAGGTTGATTTTAATGACATGAAGAACAGATGATTATATAACTCCAAAATCCTTTAATAACAAAACAGGCTCATCATCCTTTGTAATTTATCAGTCTAAGTTCAAAGATATAAACTCCAAGTTCCAAATCATAAGTCATTGAAATTTTTTACAAAGTGAGAAATATTGGAATAGAACTAACAAAAATAAGGAACGTGCTTACCTTGGATTTTCCTGCCCTTGCATTTGCAACTAAGGATGGAACCATTAACCTGTCACCAGGACCGAAGATGCCACTGGGCCTTAGGCTGCAAGTTAGAAGGCCATTCGAGCCATTTGCCTTGAGGATCAAAGCTTCTCCCTCGGATTTAGTGGCAGAGTAGAAATCATTGTGCTGAAACAAAACGACATCCAGCCAGTTCAGGATTTGCAACAACCGAAAAAAACCAACAAACAGAAAATCCTATAATTGATGAGGCGATAGAAAGCAGCAATCTGTTGGACGGTCGGTGGAGTTAGTACCTTCGCAGGGTAGGGAAATGACTCATCTGCATTAGTAAGTCCATGTATCCCATCAAATACTACACTGGCCGAACTCGTGTATATTAGTCGCTTTACGTTTTGCTTGATACAAGCGTCAATTACATTTCTGGCTCCTGGAAGGTAAAATAAATAAACAATCAGCACATCAAAAGCAGAGTTGCTAAAGCCAAATGCTTCGTACCTTCCACATTGACCGAGTAATGAAGTTTGTAATTGTTAATGGATGAATTTGGAGCAGCCATGTGGAAAACAACCTCGACTCCCTCAAATGCTGCATCATCCAAAATTGACATTGCAACCACTTTTCACGAATAGAACAGAAACAAATACAGCTGATAGAAAGGTTCAAAAGAATCCCAACCTTTAAGCACTTGAGCTTTGTCGCGAAGATCGGCCGAAACGTATTGAGCACGGCCGGAACGTAATCCCTCCCCGAGAATCCCTTGCTCCTCGCTTGCTTCCAATTCAATGGAGGAGCCTAAATCAACGATTCGGACGGAAAACATGTTGTATTTGATCAGCATTTCCACAAGATGCCGTGCAGCGAAGCCTCTCCCTCCGGTCACCACGCACCATCTCTCCTCATCCTCGCTCCCCATACTCCGCTATCCGCTCGCTGCAAACAAAGTGAGCAGACGAATTTTCCAAGATTAGAACAATGTGAAGTGTGATTAAGCAATGCAACAGGTGAATTGAACATCCATACTAAGTAACGACGCCGCCGGAGAAGATGACCTAGGACGGATGGGATCTGAAGCAGCAGACGGCACATGCGCTTGTGAGGTACAGTAGAGCTGAGGGGGGAAGCTCATAAACTTTTCGATTAAAGAATTCTTATGGCAGGCAGATGATGCCGCCGGCGTTCAATCGGAGGACCGGCGATTGGACCCCTTTTAAGGGCCGAAGCTTAAACGGATATTGGCCCAATTTGAGCCCATTTTGGTCACTGGCCCCATCTTGAACCTCCCTCTTGGTGACGGAATTTTAATGTAAACTTTTGTAAGTTCGTTTCCCATATATTTTTGAAATATTAAACTTAAAAGAGAAATAAATAAAATGGTAAAATATATTTATAGCTCCTGAGTTTGAAGACAAGTGACAATTTAGTCTTCAGACTTGTTATAAAATCCCTACATTTAAACTTCCGTTGGTTAGTAGTAACGGAATGTTAACATGGAAATTTTAAATATTATGTGGTATCGAGGATGTATTTATTTTAAATGAGATGACGCATGTGATTTTTGAATTTTCCCTCCTCTCTTTCTCTTTCACGATCCTTCTCTTTTAACTTCTCCCTCACGTTCTCCCTCTTCTCCTATTTTCTCTGTCACGCTATCTCTCTCTCTCTAACTCTTCACTCTCTCTCTTGTCCACATTATCTTCTGCGACTAAGAATTGCTACCACTGAAAAATCATTTTGATTAGGGCTCAAGTACAGAGTGATTTTTTTTACAAAAGAATTGCACATTTGGCACATATTTCGGATGTAGATGTGCTCGTGGGTGCTCAAATACATTCAGCACATATTTCGGGTTGGGCTAGATTGTCCCATTATTCCTTTGGTTGTTTCTATTTTATATAGCTATGTTACATAAATAAACTAAAGTTCTAACCCTTGCGACCGTGACAGCAGATTGCAATGGCAACGATGGGCTGCGACAGGAGAGGCGGGTGACGATGGAAGCTACAGCCGGCGGCAACGGGGAGCTTGAGTGAGGGAATAAAATGGAAGAAAATAGAGGAAGAAAATGGAGGAGGAAAATAGTGGAGGGAGGCTTGAGAGAAAATTGATTGAAAGTGAGATCCAAAATCAAAAGGTAGAAAGCACTTGCCTAGAATCAAGGACCATGATTAAAACTAATGGAGAGTTGAGATTCAAGATAAAAAAAATTGTTATATATTTATAATCTAAAAAATATATATATATGTATATATATAAGTACTATCGGATTGGGTCAGATCGACCAAAAATTTTAATGATGAACCCAAGATCCGACCCAACCCGATCGAGTTGGAAATTTCACAACCCAACCCGAGTCGGAGATTAATTGAACCGAACGCAACCCTTATGGGTTGGGTTGGGTTTGTTGGATAGTCGATTTTTTTAATAGTCTAGTCTTTTGTTTCTCTTTTTAATAATAATAAAAAAACAATAAACAATTATATTACCTAATGTATATCTACTTCTATTTATTAAAAAAAGGTGGAATTAGAAGCAAGATAAAGAAAGAGAAACAATAATAATAAAAAAATTATCAAACATGGTCTAAGATATTAGTTATCTTTCAAAAGTGACTTTTAACTAGGAGAAAAGGTTTCTAAAGGGTCAAGAATATGACATTTTGAAAGAATTTTAGTTTTAGAAAAGTCACATTTATTAAGTGTTTTCTCAATGAGTAGTCATATGTTTTATAACCATGCAAACAAATTTTCTTATTACTAATAGCTCCACCCACTTTCTTTCACTTATTTAATTTTGATGGTTTTAATTTAGTAATTTTATGGTCTAATTGTTTTCAACTGTTTGTTAAGTAAATATTAATCCTTCAAAAGAAACTGATAAGTTAGATTATCAATATTTTTAAAATACCAAAACCAAATTAAATTTAATCATTGTCACTAATTATATAAAGATAAAAATATAATTTGATTAAAACCCAGAATATTAGGATAATCGAAACTAATTTTATGTATGACTAAAGATCTAGCATAATTTTAAATAAAAAATAAAAACTAAAAATTTAAGAATATAACAAAAATAAAATAAAATCATTCAATAATTTATATAAATTAATAGCTATCATGTAAAATAAAAGCGTTAATCATTAAAAATAATTGTCCTGCAGGGATATGGCGTAGTAGCAAGGGCCTTGAACCTTGTAATATCGCCAACCATGAAGTCTTGGAGTCAAGTCCTGTCCATGATTCAAAATTTTTCGATTGGATTATTTGTAAGTGAAAGTCAAACAAGTTTTTCTAAACCTTCACAATCATGCCTATTTAATATTTTTAAGACTATTTGTATTTAAATTTATACGATTTAAATTTTTTTTCCGTAATACTATAAAATTTTCAAACGTATAGTGATGTTTGTACACACTTCTTTTTATAAAGTGGTACTAATATGATTTTCTTATCCCTGTAATTAGAAGAATATTAATTAAGAAAACCATCTGTTATCAAAATGTTACACTCTCCTAAGCAAAAAGTCAATAGCATGCATATGTACAATATTGCATACGATATTTGAAAATCATATCTTTATATATGATAGAATTTCAGATAACCAAAGATTCCCAAGACAAAATGTCAAATTTTTTTGAAATATCTCTCTCTCTTCCAATCCCATCATTCATTCCTATCCCTTGTATAATAACAATTAACAACCTATTGGGTTTTACTTCCCCCACATTTTCCATGTTTACCTCCCAAAAATAATCCTTTATTATAATTTTAACGCAACATTATATTTATCAAACTTTCTTTTTCTTTAAATATACCAATAACTTTGTATTAAAAAATTATTTAAGTTCTTAGGTTTGAAGACCTATTTTGTGATGACACCATTGAATGTTTGGTCATTCATTATGTTTTAATAAAATCGATAAGAAATCTTTTTTAAAGATATCAAATTGTTAAATATTGAATGATGGTCAACATAGAGATAACTCAATAGTTGTATTTTCCTAAAAATTTACATGATGTATTATATAGAATTTGTCGAAAAAATCTGACAGCCTTTTAGCTTTTGAAAAATATAAAACGATATATACTTTTTAAATTTCTTTCCAACTTGGAAGTGCTTTAAAAAAAAGAATATAACTAATTAATATTCCCATTCCTCTCTCTTCCATCTTCTTTCTTTGTTCTACTTCTCCTCGAACATTTTTCTGATCCGTTTCATCAGCTTGGGTTTTATCACAAAGATGCTGCAGTTTTTCTATATTCAGTGGACGACCAGGTTATTGCAGGATATTTCTCACTCAAGGGCCCCGGTTTCAACGACATGACAGTTTTAGCAAAAGCATAGGTTTCATAAAACCACATGTTTGTTATCTTTTTTCTGCTCTGTCCTTTATTTCAGTATATATATTATGTGCAAAATAAAAATAAAACCCACGTTTTGAAAATGGAAACCACTAATTGGGAAGATAAGAAAACATCAACTTGATAAGAGAGAGAGAGAAAACAATACTTGGAAAAAGATTGCCATAAATGAAAGCTTACGACATATACACCATTCTTGCTCTTACAAGCTTCACAAATGACACTGCCAAAACCCTTTTATTTCTTCCTAATTTCTCCTGATCCAAAAAGAATCGCACCCGTAAAATTTAGACCTTTTCGGAATAATATAATTTTTTTTAGTTTCAACTAGACATATATTTGCATTCAATAGCTGTATGTATATCTTGGATGAAGAGTGATATTAATTGTTTCCGAAGTTCCAAAGGAAAGATTGATGGGAGAAAGAGTCATGGCCGGAAACGTCGTCGTAATAATCCCCGTCATCCTCCTCCTCGTCGTGATCATGAAAACCGATCACGTGAGGGTCATGTGTTTGGTATAATTCATCGGTTATCATATTATCAAACTGGTCAGAGTAAATGTTAAACAAATTAGAGGCGGAACCCGAACCACCGCCCTGGTCAACCGGGTCGAGCTTGTTCAGGAAATTAGACCAATCCATATTATAATTTTCGTCTTTAACGGAGCTGGCACCCACGTGGCAGATTTGATCCACGGTGGCAACGGGTGAAGAATCATCAGCAGCGGCGGCGTGATCGTCGGCAGGAGGGGCGACAATAACGGCGTCGTTTGAGTACTCATTGGCGAACTTAGCGGCGACTTCCTGAATCTGCTGGCAAGTGAGGGAGTGGGCGTCGAGAATGTCCGGCGGTTGGTCCGGGAAGTTGAACTTAGCGTGGCGGCCGCGGAGGCAGTAGAGGGCGGCGTCGAAGGCTCTAGCGGCCTTCTCCGGCGAGTCGTAGGAGCCGAGCCAGATGCGGTCGCGGCTGTTCGGGAGGCGGATCTCCGACACCCACTTCCCCCATTTCCGCCGCCTCACGCCCTTGTACTTGGACTCTCCGGCGGCCTCGGCGGCGGACGGAGGAGTATTCATGATGCTGAGCATAATTTGGCGAGTGGGGCGGCATTTACGGGTTTTATATATACGTTCTGTGGGAAGAAATTTTTTACGGACGGGAAGCGTGTTGATTTCGGCCGGTCCAAATGCGGGAATTGAAACAAAAGTACACGTGGCAGTACCGGCTCTGTGAACGCGGTTCTGTCCATCATTGCACGTTGCTCATGGCATTTACATGTCTGTTTTTTTTCCCTTTTTTTTTCCACATAGACACTGACGTTAGTCAAAATTCAAGCTCATTTTTCGTTTGCGGCTCATAGGTCCACCTTCCAAAATATATATCTAAAACTTTTGAAATTTTGGGAACATTAATATAATTTAAAACATTAAAATGCATTTTTAAAATTTTAATGAGTTATTTTAACGAATGCATTGGGGAAGTTGTATTTGAGGATGCATTAGGGAAGTTGGATTTTCCTTATTCTAATGAGTTATTTTTTATGGAAGTAAAGTGGGATTCGGTCAAACCGACTTTAATACAAATTATTCCATTAGAGATATTAATAAAAGTTTGTCTTTTCCAATAGGTAGGATTGTTGATTTGTTGATTAGTCCAAAAGAGTTGATCAATGGACTGTGGGAGAAAGAGGGGGACCGCAATACAAAAAAGATATGAGATTGACAAAAATATATATATAAAACAAGTCATATCGACCAAACATKGTCGGCTCTGTATAGTCTATGTTAATTAAGATAGCTTTCATTAAATTCTAGTTTAGGTTATTGTTATGTACATGTAATTCATGATAGCTAAACTCTGAATAAATAGGATCATATGATTGGTATAGAGTCTATATTCGGCAGTGCAACATGGATTGGGTTGATATGGACTTAACCCAGTTTTAATTTCATGACTTGGGATGTGAAATGTCACTTTCTTGATTATGAGAGGGTTGAAAATTGTTGATAAGATTAGTGGTGTAGAGGGGAAGTATGTAGTTCTTCCTGTTGCGGCCTTTGGTGTCTTTTTGTCATATTTTAAGGAGTAAGAACTTTTCTTACGTTGTACACATGCTAATGAGCTATAATTGGTGTTCCATTATTACACAAGTAAGGCTCCTTCTAGTTCACATTGCTTTCCCCCTTTTACTTTTATAGTTTCTGTTTGGCCCCTAAAATGGGTTCTGGTTGTTCTCCCTCCATTATGTTCAATTTGACCACAGAACTCTCTCTCCCAAGGTTTTCTTTCATCAAAGCCCCCTTTTTTCTCTCTTTTTATGAGTAGAGTACTATGTTCTCATAGATATTTAGGACGGTTCAAAGAAAATAGCAAAACATCTAATGGGTTTAGGTCTAAGTTTCTCTAACTCCTTATTTGAACTTGATGTTGTCAAATTAATGTTGTTATTATATGGTAACCATCTTCGAAAAGTGGTATAAATCGTTCATGGCTTTTAGAAAAAATCGAAACTTTGTCTAATTTAAACTGAATTTTGAAATGTTCTATACATTTTAGAGATAAGTAGGTGAGTAGTTCATTTTGAGATCCTAATCTCAAAAAGTGTTCGAAATTATAAATATTATTACTATTAGATATTTAATATATGAATTAAATTTACCCGTCCTACAAGTTTAAGCTTTAACACTCTTCGATGTTCGAACACAAGACCTCCCGTTCTGATACCATGTTAAGGATGAATAAACCACCAATCGACCCAAAAGCTTAAATTAGTAGATCACGTAAATTTAATTCATATATTAGATATCTAATAATTAATTTTGTTTCGAAGAATCCAACTGTAAATTACATGAAATGCCCATGAAAAGGTATTTTTAATAAATAGAATATTGTAAAAATAAAAAACTGACTTTTGGTGTCATTTCATATATTTTCCTCCTAAAATAGTTCCTCTCAAATTTTTTCCACATTCTAATATATCAAAACAGCCATCATGAGATGACTCAAGTGGTCAATGAGGGCCTTTGTAAATAGTAAAGGACTTAGAGGGAATGAGTTCAAACTATGGTGACCACCTACYTAGGTACATTTTTTTTCTCGGTCCACACTTATTATGGAATTTTAATTGACACTTTTCTAATAATTTGATTTTGATTTAAGACAAATATATTTATTAATGGTTAAAATCCCAAAATTTAAATATTGATTATGTTATTTCAATTTATTATTTCTTAATAAACTAGTGTTCATTTAAGGCACATATTAACACTAATTAATGAAAGATTTTTTTATAAAAAAAATTATTCCATATTAATTAAACAGTAAAAAAATTCTCATTTCATAATTGTATATTAACTTGTGGATTTGTCTATTAACATAATTTTACATCATTTGTTTTATTTTGAATTTTATACAGCTTTTTGGGAAAAATCATTATGGGATTTATTTATCGTTTTTTTTCTAAAAATTACAGACATTCATCATTGATGTTATTTTTCAATTGAAATTTATTGGCTTTGTACCTGTAAATATATTTCATAATGTATATAATACATTAAGATTAGTGTGATGCACGTGATATAATTTGTGTATAACTTTAGGATTAGTATGATGATGCACGTGGTATGATTTGTATATACATTAGGTTGGGTTTCTTCCATGACGGGTTGAACCTTCCTTTCCTCTAATCTCTCCCCCATTTCCTAGAGTGAAGGAGGAGTTTCAACATAGGTTTCTTCCTCATCTACGTGCATGACGTATGATGGACGTAGTATAATTTGTATATACTTATGTATATATATTTTAATTATGATGTATGATGCATGTGGTACAATAGTTACACACCCAATAGTGATCAATATATTATATATATATTCAAATCAGTATACATATTAAAATATTTCCTAATATTAATTACTTATAAATCATAGTTGAATATTTGATATATACCCAAAATACATGACAATTAACTAGACCTGCAGCCACAAGTGCATTGACCACAATGTCGCTGACAACCTGCCCTTGTTCACCGACCAAGTAGGTCGACCATTAACCCAGTGCCCTCTAACGAAACAAGCATCAACAGAAACGCACCAAAACCCCACCTTGGGTGGCCCTCGGTGAAACCAAAGCCCCACTTTCGTCGAGTGCTAATAAGATCTGCATGGCTTCTCCGCTATCACTCGTAGAAAAAGCACAATGTTGTCGACGACTATAACGGTGTCGAATCCCTTCCATGTCTTCCATCGAGTGAAAATTTTCACAAAAGTTATGATCCCACTTAGCTTCCATCGACCAAAATCTCACTTCTGCCGCAGATACAACGTTCAGATATTGCATCGTACCACCGGGAAATAAATGTTAAGATATTACATCGTGTTGTCGAAAATAAACATTGCTTTACCATTATTTGAGAAAATTGATAAAATGCAAAGATATCTAGAAGCAGAAATATCGATACCACCAGCAAGTGGTGGTGTAGTGGGCTTGTGGCCAAATGGAGATAGCCCCTCTCCAGTTTGAGCCCCATGGGGTGCGTAGCCGAGATTTTCCCTCATCCCCTAATTTGGAGATGAGTCCTGTAACGTCAGCTACAGTGTTGGGTGGCCGTCGATACACCTTGGCCATACAATATCGATTCTAGGTTATTAGAAAAAAAATTATTAAAACAAAAATGGTAAATAATTACAATGCAAATATGGTAGAAAACCAAACATCACCATAGTTACGTTCAAAATATTCTTAATTTGTTTAATAAATTATAAAATTATAATCATTTATGCTAAAAATATAAAATTATAAACAACCATAAATTTGAACCTTCCTAAAATATTGATTCTAAACTAGATTCTTTAGGAAAAGTTTTCTGTATATTCCAAGGATGAAAGTAATGAGTATCAAATTTTTGACTTTTGTTAATATATATTTGAGCTCATGGAAGTCAACAGGATGTCCAAAGAAGCCACATAAGCAATTCACGGCCATTAGAGACATGGAAATTCCACGCAGAGATTTGCTACAAAGAAAGAAGAAGACAAAAGAAAAAAAGGATGCAGCAACAACAAACATTTTCCTCGAGACAAAAATGGCCGAGCACCGGCCAAGCAATTGACTTCACTTATGTGGCGGTCGGCGGCGGCCATGGGCGGTGGCAGGGTTGCGGCGGACGAGGAGGCGAGTCACCGACGACGTGGGAGTGGGCGTGTCGCTGGAGAGAGCGACAGACAGCCGAAGTTTGTAAACGACAGACAAAATAATTAGGGTTTAAGGAATTAAAACAAAATCTTTGTGAAAAACCAAATCTTCCATAGCTAATAAGATGCATCCTTAAAAATGAAATCGCCTTCTTTCGGACCCAAAAAAAGATGAAACAGATTATTGGAGCAAACCTCAAATAATGTGGGTAGTTTTGTAATTATAAATATTTTAAATGTTTAATCAAATTATTAAAATAATAAAAAAGACAAATGAATAGAATTAATCATTCAACTTTTTCTTTTTTTTAAGTAAAACATCGTGGGATGGGAGTTCGAACTCATGATCTTTTGGTCAGAGATAGGTGCCTTAACCACTTGAGCTATGTTCGGTTTGACCATTCTACTTTTTCTTTTAGCAAACAAACAAGTGACCACAAATAACATAGGTTTTGTTTTGGATAATCTCATTAGTATAAAAGTTATTTGAAAGACCAAAGTAGCTTAGAAATTTAATAAAAGTTATTTTTTAAGAGTATTTTATAATGAATTGTAGTTAACTAAATAATATTTAAGATGATATGGATAGAGTCGATGATGGCTCAGTTAATCAATGCATTATTTATCTTCAAATTATTATACTCTCATTGAAGTATAAAAAATTAAATTTTTTTGAAGTTTAATGATTAAATAAATAAAAGACTTAAGATTGAATGATCGTCCATTTTTTCTTTTTTGTTGAGTTCAATAATAATGAGTACTACGAGATTGAACTATCAGCGATTGAGATAATAATAGATGTTTTATCTATGCCATCAATCAAGATTCACCATCAAAAGAGGAGTCGTCGATTTTAGGTTGAGTCGGTTTCGTCATTTACACAA